AGAGCTTTTTGACTTACATACACCCGTACCAGATCATTCTTAATTTTTTATTGGAAAATAGTTTCTGAAGCCTCCATCCCTGCATTGACTTATTTTTGGTGGCAGAAAAGATCTAATTAGGAAATAAAGATGAACTCCACAGAATTAATATTTAGTTCATTAATGTGGAATTCCACAGAAAATCATGTTCAGTTAGAAGCATTCCATCAGTTACAAATATTCTATTAGAGACTTTTCCTACCTCTCCTACCAAATGCTGAGACCTAAATAAGAGCTAACCCTGGAGTATATGAGGCATCTTTACCTTTTGGAAAGAAGGATATTGTCATGTTAAGTGATGAGAAATCTAGCTCTTCCTGTCAGCAGCTGGCCTAAAAGTACGCTGTTGACAATTTGGCCTAAGGACTTTCAAAATGGGTCTAAACAACCATCCTTTACTGCCACCTCGTGGACAAATAGGGTTTCTCACAAGTTAAAGAAGGTTGAAGTTTCTCTTTATAGAGTGTAAGTGGTAGAGCAAATGAAGTGTCTTCTAAATTACCCTTAAACGGTAGTTTGTTTGTATTATTACTCAAAAAGAGTAGTCATTTAACAGATCTTATGTAAATGATTACAGAGTGGGCAAATAATTATGGAAGCTAAAGTGACAGTTAATCTTACTACCAAATTAACCTATGGAAACAATAACGGATTAAATAAATGTTTGTGGGTTTGATTAACACTTAATATGATTTAAGAAATGTATAAAAATATATATTGCATTTGAGTTTCGGTGAAATAGAGCTTAGGGAATAATGCCATTAACTTCCATTACATTAAAATACATTTTGGGGAAAAATAGGAAAACCAGGATTTTATTGTATTTATACTGACTTTAAGGATTTGTAAGCCAATGAAATTGTAATTTCCATTATATAATGCTAAGAAGATGGCAAAGGTCTTCTGATCCAGATACGTGTGTTATTCAGGAAGCAGAGCAATCACAGATGTGAATTTGATTATCAAGAAGGTGGTAAGGGATGATTAAAATAAAGACACAAAATCTAGAACTGAGAAATAGCTAGAAGATAAAAAAGGGGAATCAACCAAAGACCACAAACTCAAAATAGGAGCTACTATCATCTTAGCATCAACGCGGATACTGCATGATGACAGAGAGATGGAGGGAAAGAGGGAGAGAGAGCAGTGGCATCAGAGTTAGGACTCTGACAGGAGAGCTCCTTCTACGCTGACAGTGTAAGAGAACTGAGAAGATTATGCTCAGCAATTGCACCAGAAGATAGTCTTGCATTTACTCACATACTAACCTTTACTTCCTCAGAATGTCTATAATCAAAAAGCAAATATCAAAGCCACTTTTCATTGTGTGTGGCATATTTAAATAAGTGCCTTACAATTTGTCATAGCTAAAACTTGGAAACAGCCCAGTTGCCCATGAATTGGAGACTGGATAAAGAAGATGTGGTGTTTCTATAAAATGGAGTACTGCTCAGCCATAAAGAACAAGAAACTAAAGACATTTATAGCTAAATGGATGCACATTGAGGCCGTACTCTTAAGTGAAATAAATAGGACACACATGTGTAGATACTGAATAGTTTCTCTGGTGTGAAAAGCTAAAAGTGTAAGATTCAAATTGTATAACTGAATATTGAGGATACACTCTTAAGTGAAATAAATAAGTCACACATGTGTAAATACCGAATAGTTTCTCTGGTGTGAAAAACTATAATAGTACACAAGGTCCTAATGGGATAATTAAAAATGTGAAATAGGAAGAAAAGGGCTAAAGGTGTAAGGAAAGCGGGAAGGGCAGGGGAAGGGGAATAAGGGAAAATAAAAAAATAAGAGAAAATGAAACAATGGAAATAAAGTGTTTGTAAATGGGGAGGGGAGGAGGGCTGAAGGGAGGGCAGGGACAAGGGGAAAAAATGAGAACCAAGACCTGTCATGTAGAGGTCAAGATCCCAGTGATGAATGTAGCTGTACTGTATACCTAAAATGTACCAATAGACTCAGTGAGAAAAAAACTGTTTTATTATCCACCAGCAGGACTTTATTTACCAAGTTTAGTCTTGTCCTTTTGAACTCCTAGAAAAAGAGCAGTAACACTGTATTCTGTTGTAGATAGATGTAAGAAGGCATCAGAGGGGGAAAAATACATTAAACTTTTCTGTTACAAACAATTTGGGTTACAACCAGAATTTCAGTTTGTCTTTTTAAAAACATGAGCATACAAACATCTCATCCAGTTCTTACGTTCCACTATTTTTTAAATTAATTTTATTGGTTCATTATAGGTATACAATATGATGTTCATCACTGGAAATGTGTAGCTTTACATAGTCTATCTTGGTTCTTATTTTTTCCCCATTCCCTGCACTTCCTTCAACCCCTCTTCTCCCTCTATTTATAAAGACTTTGTTTCCGTTTTTTCCTTTTCTCATATTAGTTCCATTCCCTTCTTTCCCTTCCCCTTCCCCCTCCACTTCCCTTTTCCCTTTGCCCCCTTTATCCCTAATTCACATCATCTATTATACCCTTTAGTCCTTATTTACACTTAGTTTCTCACACCAGAGAAACTATTCATTATCTACATGTGTGTCCTATTTATTTCATGTAAGAGTCACCTCAATGTGCATCTATTTAGCTATACGTGTCTCTAATTTCTAATTCTTTATGGCTGAGTAGTACTCCATTTTACACGAAAAAAAAAAAAAACATTTTCTTTATGCAGTCCGCTATTGATGGGCAATTGGGCCGCTTCCAAGTTTTAGCTATTAGAAACAGTGCTGCAATGAACATGGGTGTGCATATATCACTGTGGTGTGATTCTTTTAATTCTTTTGGGAAGATATCCAGCAGGGGACTAGTTGGGTCAAATGGGACCTCTAATCCTAGTTTTTTGAGGTATCTCCACACTGATCTACACAACAGTTGCACCAGTCTACACTCCCACCAGCAGCAGAGCAGGGTTCTTTTTCCCCCACAGCCCAGTCAGCATTTGTTACTAGTTAGTTGATTCCATGATAGCAGCCTTTCTTTTCAGGGCAAGGTAGAATCTCAGCATTGTTTTCACGTGCATCTCCGGAATGAGTAATGATGTTGAACATTTTTTCATATATTTATTTGCTATTTCTACTTCTTTGTCTGAGAAACGTCTGTTCATTTCAGATGTCCATTTTAGGATTGGGTCTTTAAATTTGGGGGGTCTGATTTTTTATGTTCTTTATATAGTCTAGTCTGAGGAATAGCTGGTGAATATTTTTACCACAGTGTGGGTTGTCTTTTCACAGTTGGTGGTTTTATTGCTGTAAAGAAGCTTTTTAATAAGAAGAGATCCTACCTGTTGATTCTTTGTGCTAGTTCATGTGTGACTGGGGTTTTGTTCATGAAATGTTTTTCCTACACCAATGTCCTCAAGATTTCTACCTAACCTCTCTTCCAGCCAGTTTAGCGTTTGATCCCTGTCAATTTTAATTTAGTACATGGTGAAAGATACGGGCCTAGTTTTAATCTTTGCCAAGTTGAAACCCCGAAGAAAAACCTACCAGATGACATTAAGATGTGATCAACTGTCGTATGAAAAAGGACTTATGAAAATGAAATGAAAACAATAGCCCTGGAAAACCATGCTCTCATGAGTTCTGCTCCTGCCCAGCCAGGGACTTGCAGCAGTGGAAGTTGGCATGATATAAGCCAGTACTCTGGGAGGCAGAGGCAGTGCACACTGAGCACATTAGTGACTTAGAAAGACCCTGTCTCAAAAAGAAAAAAAAGAATGTAGCTCAGTGAGAATTCTCTAGGTTCCATTACTAGTAAAACACACACACACACACACACACAAACACAAACACACACACACTCATGTGAGTGTGTGCAGAGAAAAGAAAGAGAAGAAAGAAAATAAGAAAAGATAAGTATAATTAGGAGAGGTACTTCCGAAGGAAGCCTTCTGGAGAGGAAAGTTCTAGAACTGAACTTTATGAGATCACAGCATGAATCCTGAACAAATTCTACATAGTGTGTTGCTGGAGCCTCTGATAAGCTCTGCACTAGGATCAGTGCACCAGGACCAAGCTTCTCTCAAACGTATTTCTCATCAGTCAACTCATGATTGATCTTTTAAAAAGGAAAATTGAAATTCTATTCACTAAGGAGTCAAAGCTTAAATTGAAAATTCTTCCAAAGAGTGAAGTATAGTGAAGAAAATGTCCACCAAATTAAAAATAATAATAATATCATTTCCTCATTTATCATGCGCTTATTGGCATCGCAGTATTGGCAATATATATTTTCAGAAGTGGGGGGAAAGGAAAAAGGTATCTCCATTTTGCCCTCCTACAAGTTGCAAACATAGTTTGAGGCCATGTTCATAAAATTTATATTCCTTAACATAGCCTCCATCTGTATCCCAGATGCTGTTAGATTCGGGACATTTGGGAGTGTTTCCTACACCAAATCGTAAGCTGTCAGGAACCATGGCTACACAGACTCTGCAGCATCTGAAGAATCTGCCACGCCCCTCGGCAATTGTCAGGCTCAAAAACGTTTCTCTGACCCTGTGGAGTTCTCTGGTGTCGATGAGACTGAATTTTGGCTTTGTTCCCAGTCTGGATCACTCTGCATTGGGTTCCCAAGCCTATGGTGCGCCTGGCAACCTCGTGTGACTAGGTCTTGAAGCTTCATGGATGTTCTCGCTGTATCCAGCTTCCAAAGTAACGGTCAGAAATAAAACAAGCACAGTTTAGAATTTCACTCCTGGGAAAGCTAGTGGAAGATTACCTTAATAGCTCCGTGTAGTGGCCACCACTCTCGCCGGCCCGAAACTACAGAATACAGGAATATGGTTATAGCATCGAATCCCTGGAGAGTCACAATTCAAAGCTTTGGCAGAATAAATGAGTTCTAATTTGTTATCAAGGAACCTTGCAACATTTGAAAGCATTGCTTCATTTATTCGCATACTCATTTTTTTTTTTAATGGTGGCGACTGGCATGGTGGGCATGCTTGTAACCCCAGCGCTCAGGAGGCTGAAGCAAAAGAATCAATGTGAGTTTGTGATCAGCCTGGCCTACAGTCTCAAAACACACAGACTCACACACACACAGTGCTTCTAGAATCACTCTTAGAAGGATTTCCAGCCTAGGGTACTAAATATTTGCTTTAACACTAATCAACCTGTATTTGAGAAGATTCAGAGCTGGTAGCCAATGGGGGAAAGAGATAGAAAGTTCTAGAATTTTTAATTGTGATATTTGGCCCATTGGAGATACTTGAAAAACTAAGGTCTCTGATCATTGGGGCTAAGTCTCTTTATGACTCCCTTCATGATTTCTTCTCTAGAAGAGACCACCAGAGAGAACGACGCATTCAGATGCATGGCAAAATTTCTGCTCTGTTATGCACATATTGTTTTTCTCTTTCATGTGCTGTCTCACTGAATCACCTGGTCTCATATCTGCATGGAATAGATGGGAAAAAGAAGGTGTCTTCCCATTGGCCCAGAGTCTTTTTGAACACTTTCTGTATCTCTTTATTACATAGATCACATATGTGTATGTGTGTATGTATATATTGTATACTACATAGGCCATTTAATAATTTTTTGAGGAGTACCAGGGATCAAACTTGGGACCTTGTGCTTGCAAGGCAGGTGGTGGCATGACTGAGCTAAATCCCCAGCCCTGGCCATTTAATAATTTAAAATAATTAAAGCACTTTCAAATCCCACCAATCAACCTTACATGTCTGTCAGGAGCAGCCGCATTACTCACCGAAAGGTGACACAGAATGGATCATGATGAAGACCAAAAGTGAGCAGAGAATCAGGAAAGATTTGGCCATTTTTTCTCCTGGTGTTTCCTTCCACTCTAAATATTATTTCAGGGTGTTGTCCTCTAATACAATCAACAAAGTAGAAACAGTATGATGATTAAAACTACTTTTGAAATTAACAGTCATCTTCAGTCTGCCTATTGTATCTACTGTGCACTGCATGCAGAAAGCCTATTCTGCCCCTCTTTAAAAATAAGTGTGTAGGAAAAGTTAAACCTGGATTAACCATCTTAAAGGCTGAAAGATTAAGAATGTAGACTTCAGTGATAGACTCGTGAATATTCAGAAAGTAGAAGTAAACCAGAAGTTATTCTATGTGCATAATTCCATCATTTTAATGTGAGATATCTTAGATGTCTTAAAAAGCCGCACACTCCCTGAGTTCCTAATCCTGAACAGTGAACCTGGATTTCTCTCCATCCTCTGGGCTTTTATCTTACCTCTGCTCTGTAGCACGTATGAGTAGGTAATTTATATAAACTCATTGCTGATGTGCTATTATGGGCATATTTGGAAACATTACACTTTCTCTTAGAGTGCTTCACCCTCAGGACGATTGGAAGATTTTGCCTTCTCTGCATATTCTGAAACAATCAGGAAACCATGGTTTACTAAGCTCCCCTGCATCTCATCCTGACATACTCCCTAGGTTCTCCAGGAATAGAGACATAACAGGAGAAACGAGAGGTCCAAAGTACAATGCAAAAGGCCCTCTCCCCACGCCCCATGCCACACTTGACCCACCTTGGAATGGGCAGAAAAGCCAGGGGCATGTAATGCTCTGCCTTGTGGCTGGTGCTACTTCTTTAAGGTGCACTTCTTAGGGGCTCTGGAGGAGTCAGAGTGGCTTTGTAGGAGAGGGGAGGCACTGAGGCATTGTGTCCTGGTCTTAGCAGGCCCTGGGAGGCCTCGCCTTCAGATGGAGTCAAGATCAAACCTCAGCAGGGGGTGTGGAGGAGGAAGACCTTAGTGAGAAGCGATCATGGCAAAGGGCCGTCAATCCAGAGAAGCAATAGTGTGAGGAAACTACAGTATCAAAGAGCACATCAGAGAAATCACAGCATACTCCACAGGAATAACGAGTGCTTTTGGACACAATAAACCATGTGTAAAAACACCTAAGAAGAGGAAGACTGGCACAAAAGTCTGCAAGGATATGTGAAGTCTGTGGAGGAGGCCGTGTGCAGTGGCTGTGGCTGTGTCCCTGTAGCAATCACAGTCTTTGCTGTTTTAATGGGGAGGATGTGTGCTCACAGTTGCATTTCTCCTGGTGGCTGAAATTTTTGCCTCTAATTTCCTTTCCAAAAAGACCAACATTCCCAAAGGAAATATATATTCACTTGGAAATTTGAAAAACAAAACTATGAAAATAGAACTATGACATTGTTATGGTTTAGATCTCGACTATCCCCCTAAAAGTCTCATGAGTTCAAAGGTGAGGCTTTGGCAGGGCGATGGGTCATGGAGTTTCTTTACGGATCAGTGGATTCATGCACCAATGAGTTCAGTAGCTGGGTGGAGGCAGTGGGTGGAGTCATGACCAGGAGGGCTGTGTTCTTGTCCCGGGTCCCCTCCTTTCTGTGCTTCAAGGCTGCTGTGGGTTGAACACTGTCTTCGTTGCTGTGATACTCTGCCACCCTGTGTCGTTCTTAAAGCTAGCCTGCCATGGGTAAAAACTGAGCCGAAACAAATTTCTCCTTCTCTAAGTAAAAAATAGTTACTAAGGCAGACATGAAGCCTCACAAATAAAAAATAAGTGTTAAGCATACATTAAAATATATTTCCAGTTTCAAAAAATTATATACATACACATATAGAGATATATGTACTTTTTATTCTGATAGTCAATCAAACTTTGGCCATATATATATTTTTTTCATTTAGAAAGATGTCATTTCATTGTTTTGGTCTCAAATGTAGCCGTGCAAAACATAAGCATGATGTCATGTTCTTTCATATATAAACTCTATATATATTAATTGAATTAATATAATTCAATTGTTGATTGGTGCGATTCCAACTTTTCATTATTATTTAAAGTACTGGAATTAACAGATCTTTTTACCTCTGTTAATATATCTCTTATTATTTCATTTTAATAAGTGCCTATAAATTAATCTACAGAAGGTTTCCCAAAAGGAACTTGGTCACCTAAAATATGAGACAGATGAACAGATAGTTTTTTTTTTTTTTTGATTTGTAGATACTTCCCTTGTATCAAACCTGGGATATTTTGAAAACATCCATCATATTCTCTCTTTTTTTGGTATTGGAGATCTAACTCTGGATCTTGCACTTGCAAGGCAGGCAGAGGAATCAGTGAGCTTAATCCCTGGCCCAAACATCCATCATATCCTTGAGTAAATCATTTGTTCTCCAGTGCAGTAAGAAAAAGACACTCCATTGTTGAGAAAAGTTTGTGGAAACAGAAACAGAAGACCTAGTTACTCTGTTTTGTCAGCTTGTGAATAGATTTCTTTCCTGTGAACCATGGAACTTTTCCTCTGCATTATGTGGCAACTCACCTTCTAGAATGTGCTTGTTGGAGGTTTAACTGAACTAATATTTAAACAGCTTAGAAAGTAGCCTGGGTTTGACCAGCTACCAGGACACACCATTTTGTTTTGGTGACTTCTTAGCCAGTGCTATGGATGTGGGTATTGCAGGGTGAGGGTCACAGACCCATTTCATCACATAAAAATTAATAAATGTGAAATTACGTTCCACCTGAAAATAAATAATTTAATTTTTTTCATTTTGCTGTAAATTTCATGAGCAGAACATCACTGGTAAGGTGACTTCCATAGGGCATGTTTAAGTCAGGGCTTTTGTTTCATCTGGAATTATAAGGGGCATTGGAGATTCTGCTGTGAAAAACACTGGCCTAATCCTTACCCTGTGAGAGCTTATACCATAACAGAGGGAATAATTAAATAAAAAACTATTCATGAAATACAGAGTTGAGGAAGCATTTTGAAAAATTCTTTCTAAATCTTGTAACATTTAGACATTAATGATGGTCTTTGTGTTTCCCATCTGTATCATCACTGAGAAATAAAACAACAAAATCCCACAAATCCAATATATTAATAATGTAAAAGTGAAACAAACTATCCTGAAATAAAGGAGATCGCATATTATTACCACATGGCTCTACTAATGAATACAAAAATATAGCAACATAGAGGGTTATAAGCGCTATTCAATCCTACAGTGCCATATTATTCAGGGGAAAAAAGTATGCTGTATGAAAGAAGTAAACTTTTCAAACTCGCCCAAATTCCAGCGGAACTAATACTGGGAGAGGAGAACAACGAAGGTAAAAGGCTGACATTTATCTCAAGGAATCCCGAGTCTATGACCCCTGTGTGTCTGTCATCAGCCACCGTATTCCAAAAGTTTCTCCACAAGATTTTCTCACCGGATGCCAGGCACCAGCTCCTGGTTATGAAATAACTCGATGCCTATGTTCCAAGGTAGCCTCTGAGCAACACAATTAAAAATAAATCCTTCTTTCTCTTGGTAACACAGATATCACCTTTTAGGTGGTACAAGACCCCATGACCTCCAACAGAAAGTCTCAACTCCGCTGTGCAATCTGTGAAACTTTCATAGTTTAGTCCACTCCATGGTCCAATTGTGTCCCCGCCAGAGTACTGTACTGCTGCTCTTGAGATACCGACAACTTGTGATCCCCCTGCCTCGTCCTCCAGAATTACAGGTGTGTACCATCATCCTTCTGCTAGTTCTTATTTATTGAATGTACCTAAATGATAAAATGTTTAACTTTCGGATAGCTATAGTTTACTACTTCTGAAGTCTTGGGCCATGAATTTCCTCACTGTGAAATTCTGGTCATGGACCCAGAAGCATTCATGGTTCTGTTCTCTCTTCCTTCTGATCTGTTCAGTTTTTCAAATAATAGAATTTGGTAATATGTATGTGACAATGTGACAAACTAAGAGTAAAATTTCATTTATAAAAATACGATTTATCATGAAGCAAACATTGAAGCCTATGAAAGATGAAGGTGTATTGAACTGTCATTACTTTTGGAAGCAGCCACTGTGTTCTACATTTTTTTACTCCAATGGCCATGCAACTTGATGACCCCCCCTCTTCTTTTTGGAGTTTTTGAGACAGGTGGTCCTTGAACCCACTATGTAGCTCAGGCTGTGATTTTCTTGCCTGTTTCCTAAGCCCTGATTATATGCATGTGTCACCACACGTGGTGTAACCTATATGCAAATTCTACTCCACCTCACTTTACAAAGCAGTTCTTAAGCCTAGCCAAAAAAGCAGTAACACATGACAGTTACTATGAATGAGATAATGGAAGATGATAAAGCCTGGTGGATTGTACTCTTTAAGGAAATTTTTTCTGTATGTTGAGGTATCTGTGTCTCCTGAAGGTAAAACAGCAAAAAAATCCTAAAAGGAAGCATGAAGAGCAGCAAAAGGTGACCCAGAGAGAAAAGAAGTCTTCTAAAGCCCCAATCTGCTATTTGGGAGGCCTTAACCAAAGTCTTTTATGAAGGACAGCCAACAACTTCATGATTATCCTTAATTTATTCTCACTGCGCAGATTTGGGAGTCCTGAATTTTCCTTAAAATCCTCATTTTAACCTTCCAATTATTTACAGTGTTAGAAAATAACAATATATATACTGATACATACCAACTAAGGGCCACAAGTAGGGTTTGTGAAGTCTTCTTTCACTATATTTGTGGTTTCTGCCTAGGCTGACCATACGTCTCATTTGTACATAATCATATGTAATTTCTGGAAGCTGTACTGTAAAATAGTTGTTTTCTATGAAAGTAAAGCATTATTGTAACAATTTAAAGTATAAATTGCTGCATATTCTTGTACATTTACCATCAAGTTTTCTGCATTTAAGTCCTGTATGCTTTCATCCAAGATTTTGTAATCTCTAAAATAGTATAGAGTCATGTGCTACTTCTGCGTTCTATAACCTGGAGGGAAGTGTGGAGTTCTGGTATAATGTTACTCCAGTTGCCTAATAATGTTCTTAACTACTTTTAATAGAGGAGCAATTTTTAAACAATAAAGAACATAAGAAAGTAATGTAACACTAAGTGAAGACTGGGAAATTTAGAAAATGGCCCATTGTGATAGTTAATCTTGATTGTCAGCCTGATTGGCTGGAAAGATGTTCAGAGATTAGAAGACACACAGCTCAGTGCATCTGGGTGGGTCCTGGGGACATGACTTTGGGGACTGTATCTGGTCCCCAGCTCCATCCCTCTGGATCTTCCCCTGCTCTGTCTTCCCAGATGCCATGATTTGGGCAGTTTTCCTCTGCTGTGCCTTTCTACCATGTTTCTGGCTGGAAGCCAGCTGACTATGGACTGAGACTTCTAAAAGCATGAGTCAAAATAAGCCTCTCTTTCTTTAAATTTCAGTTGTCAATATTTTTTCCCATCCGTGGGGAAGTTGACTAACACATCCATATTAGTTAATGTTCTTTAGGGGAACAGAATACATCTAGATTGCTCAGTCCAAGACAATGGAAGTCACAGAACGAGAGGGGACAAGGGTGCAGCACCAGTCCAAGGTTGAAGGCTAGCAAGCTAACCAGAGTCGTCAATGTGAAGGCTGAAGGCACTGGAGATCTAAAGACTGACGTCCAAAAGTTACAGCAACAAGGGATGCACCAGCTGAAGAAGACTGAAGTGGAACAATAAATAATACCTAAGTCTTGGAAGTGACCTATATGTCCAGCAACAGATGAGCAGATGGAGAAAATGTAGTATTTATACACCATAGAGTACTACTCTGCTATAAAGAAGGATGGACGAGTCATTTGTAGGAAAAGACACACCTCGAAACCATCATGTCAAGCAAAATAAATCAGACACCCAATCTTAAATATTACATGATTTATCTTATGTGAAAACCCAAAATATAAATAAAGAGGAATATAAAAGAAATATAAAGGAAATAGGGAGATCAATATTTTACAAAAGAAAAGAGGAACAAGAGATGGGGGAGGGAGGAGAAAAGATGAAAAAAAGATTTAAGAGGTCTTATACCAACTCCCCGTGGGAAATATAATCAGTATGTCCCTCAAATATGTGCAAGTAAAAATTATAACTACAATAAATATCTATATCATCAAATAAACAAATACATAATTAAATAAATTGCAGTATTTTCTTTTTTATCCCCTCCCGCTTCTAAGCCTACTGCTTTGTGCCATTCACAAACAGAATATGTTTTGCCCCACTCAGTTTGCAGGCCTCTGTGTCCCTCATTCAGAGTCACACCCAGTGCTGTGCTTCATTCACCTGCCAGGCGAGTCTTACTCCAGTCAAGCTGAGGTATCACACGTAAC